GGTCAGATACACTAGTTCAATGCCGCATTTGCATCCAGAGGTATCCAGGAATTCCAAAGTCAAGAGTGCTACCGTGTTCACCCGGCAAATAGTTCACCCGCCGGTCAGTATAACCGCATTTGGCACAACTGTCAGTCCAGTTGCAGCGAAGATAATGACTGGGCGTTTCATTGACAGGTGAAGATGGTAGTGGGAGTAGTTAATATGCTCTTAGTACTGGGAACTGCCGATTGCTGTCAAAGCGACAGCGGACATCTTTCCAGGAGTGGGTGAGCAGAACGTGTCGATTGCGAGGGCAATCCACACTGCACAGCAGTGGAGTAGGCTGCGAGTAGGGTCCATCCCTCAAGCCCTGCATCAGTCTGAGACTTCATTCCTCCTACTGAGGAACTGAGGAAGACAGTCACTCTGATGCAGCCCCCCTTCTAGCACTTTCTAGAGTAAAAAAAAATGATGTGAATCTGCCCGATGTTTGGCATCGTGACCACACAATTGGCATTCGTCGGATAGTTTTAAAGATCGCCCCGTCCTGTCAAGTGTTGTGCTCCTCGGCCCATTTGTTGGGCCGCATACCCCTGAGACTTTACACAATGTCGTCCTTCTGCAGGGTGTCGGTATCCCGTGAGTGCTCTGCAATCGGCTTGGCCTTCGCTTCTGCATCATCCTGTCATGTGTTGTGCCCCTCACCCCATTTGTTTGATTTTATATATACCCCTAAAGGCTTTTCACACTTCCTTTCGTGGGGTATTGGAATCTGGCACGTCCTCCGCAGTCGCCTTGGCCTTCGCTCCTGCATGCAGGTCTGCCTTGCGCGGCGAATCTGGCATGTCCTCCGCAATCGCCTTGGCCTTCGCTCCTGCATGCAGGTCTGCCTTGCGCGGCTCGGGGTGCGATGCTGTCTTCTTGAACAACCTCGACGAGAGACCGGTGTGTGCGGGCACAAAGTCGGGATCATGCTGCTGGACGACCAGGATAGAGGCAGACATTTTCATTTCTTTGCCTGTCAGCACATCACCAATCACGCCCAATTCGTGTGCATCGACACGGTTCGCGTGCTCTGGAACAGGAAGACGCGCAACGATCCGGGAAGGACGCCTACCCCTCCCAATGATCACAAGGTCGACGCCCTGTGCAGTAGCCAGGTGAATCACCCTTCCAATAACATCGTCGGCCGGCACTTGCTCCACCGAGAACCGCAGCTCGCCATTGTTCTGCGGCATTTCCTGCATCAGACTGTCTGCGGTAGCCTGGGTGTCGGCGATCGCAGCGTCGTCTTTCGCCAACTCCTCCTCCTCACGCCGGCGAAGCTCTGCGGGATCGATGGTTTGGAGCTTGCCATGACGATGGTCGTGGCTGCTTCCGGCAGTCCAGTTGAAGAACTGGTAGTGATGTCGGTCATGCGACACATTTTCGATACTGCTGCCGCCCGCAACATGCAGAGAAGTATCCTTGGAAGCACTCTCCTTGAACCGCACAACTCTGACGACTGCGTTCGGGCGCTCCAGCATGCGTCGACCGAGAGCAAGACACTCTCTGTCGTCTTGGCCGCCGAAGAAAAGAATCAAGATGTGATAGGTCACCTCGTTTGACGGAATATGCGACGAATTGCCGATTCCTCGGTCCACTAGGATTCCAACCGAGCATGGCGCATGTCGCAGGACGTTCCTGTTGACGTGATGGAAGCCTGGGTGTGCAACGTCAAGCAGTCCATCGAGAGCTGAGTCCTTGTGGAAAGGTACGATGATCATATTGGCCCGCTTTTCCGCAGCAGTACTGCATATATCTTCGTGCATCTGGCTCGTCGTTGCGATAGCGATCATAGGCCGCACAAGAATCTTTGCGACTCGCCCGTACGCTTGGAACATCGTTCCCACGTTATCGACGCCGTCAATGTTCTTGTTCACAAAGGGCTTTCCTTCTTTCCTGGCCTTCGCTACCATCTTGATTGCAGATGAACGCTCCGAATACTCTATCAAATGCAGGAGGTACACTCTCAATGCCTTCTTTCTCCTTCCCTTGACGAGCTCCGACACGTGAACCATCGAAGCAATGTTGCGAATGCCGTGGACACACATAAACAACCGAATCTCGTCGCTGCCATCATCCATGGCGATCCTCCGCCGGTCGTACGCCACCGCCTTTTCCTTGGGAGCCGTAAGTAGGCTGACAATGGGACTCGTCATGAAAGTTGTAATAATTGCCATCAGGACCAAAATCGCAAACAGCCGGTTGCCGAGAACCTGTCCATATAACGAAATCCATGTTGATCAAACAGAGCACGGACGAGTTGAAATTAGTGTTTACC